GAGAAATAAAAACAAAAACAGAAAATAAAACAAAAAAATCCCCCATAAAATGGATATTCAAGAACTCTGGGGTCTTGTTTCTTCTTAAAAACATCTAGGATTTGGTTCTTCCTCATTATTCTCCTGCCACTACTGCATTCTAACATGCTGATCACTATAGTAGACTCTCAATTGGTATTTCAGCCTTTAATTTTTCTCCTGTCTAATCCATGTTGCTCATTACTACCAAAATAGTCTTTTGAAAACATCCCCTTTCATTATGTAACCCTACCCACTTACACATGATTCAGAAGTTCTCCTTTGCTCCTTTTTTCATAGGATATCAATTCTAATTCCTCCATACTCTTAAGTTCAAGTTGGATTTGAATGCTGGCTGAGTATCCTGCTGCCTTACCCTGCAACACGCTGCAGTGGACAAGTGAATTCCTTTTACACATTCTCAGGGTCAGTCTGTTGACAGCTGTCTTCTAATTGCTGCATCTTTGGCAACTCTATGAAGATTGAGTTTTAGAGAGAGAGTCCTTTTTCCTTTCCTTTTAAAATTAAAAAAATATATTTTTATTGTTTTTAAATTGATATAACATAAAATTTACCATTTTAACCATTTTTAAGTGTACAATTCAGTGACATTAAATATTTTCACAGTGTTGTGCACCACCACCACTTTCCCAAACATAAACTCCATACCCATTAAACATTAATTCCCTATTCTCCCCTCCCTGCAGCTCTTTTGTGTTTTTAAGGTGTGAAATTCTTGGTCATTTTGCTACTTTTAACTACCCTGGAAAAAAGCAGTTCATCAATCTACAGATTGAGAACAGTGGCAGCCAGGGGCATTCTCTGACTAACTGCTCTTTCAGACTGCTATTTCATTAAGTCCCTGGTGAGCATTATCACTGCTGTAGCAGTCCTTAGGAATAGAGTGGGAAGTAGGCTGATACAGATCGTGCCTTCCCACTGCATACAGAGCCAAGCACTATATTTAAATCTATATTGTTCTTTTAATGATTCCATCCATATTCCTCCTAATGGGTAATATTGATGAACATTCTCATGTTGTTGAAGTGCTCAGACTGACAGTTCAAGGCTTGTACTCACATTTCTCTTTCCTGTGAGGGACTCTGGCTGAGGAACAGATGGCATTGCTGATGGTAATAACCAGGAACCATCCATCCAGCCTCACTGATCTTCTGGTGCATTCCTAGTGCTTCCCTACGGGTTATTCTTTATCATTGTACTAGGAATGTGTTCATTTTTCTCTTCTCTTTTATTTCCCATTCCTTTTTTTTTTCTTTTTATGTATTTTTATGACCTCTTCAAGCAACTCCTCTATGCTAAGTACCATATGTATTCAAAATAAAAATATTGTAGGTATTAAAGATAGAAATATTCAGGATAAAATTTTAAAAGTCTTCAAGGAATTTATCAACTCATGAGGAGATGGACTTGCTAATTGGCATTGACAGCTAATATGACTGTCCTTATATATGCAAGATACAATATGATCCTGGAGTTTAATTTGCCTGAGGAACCCTGAGGCTTGTAAGGAAATTATGCTAATATGGGAGAGTAGATATGCAGGCAATGCTGGTAAGAGGGTGGGAGCCTGGGAACTCTAAAACCACAACTGTGCAAGGACAGGAAGCTGTGATTAAATGGCCACTAAGAATTAAATCACCAAGAAAACAAAATCTTCAAAACAAGTCTCCAGCGCGAGGAAACTACTTGCAGACACAGAATAGTGCTTTTTAGTAATAAAACTTACCAGAGTAAGGCCTTGTGGTGGCTTCTTTTTCTCAAGACTTTTACTAATGACTGATAAAGACAGCAATTCCATGTATTTTGTGTGTGTTTATAATTTCTCACCTAGCATATGGGTCCATTTAACTTCATTTTAAGACTTCATTTTATAGTTTTAAAAACAATGAAGATATTGCCTCTTGGTTGTGATTTTTTAAAATTCTAAATGACAAAGGTTTTCACACCTTTGATTTGAGAGAGGTGACCCTGCTGGTTAAAATGCCAAGGGGAGAGCTGTAATTATTACACCTGGCAGAACCACATGCCTACAAATGACCAGAAGTTGTTACTATTGGTTGTTACTATTTTTAAAGGAGGAATGTCGTTAAAAACTCAAGGTTTTGAAATATAAAACAGCCACATATCTTCTTCAGCTTCTGATTGCTAGGTTGCTACAGTTATGAGAAAAAAAATCCAGGTGTATGTGATTCTGCGAAGTTGTTTAGGTCTGGTATAGTGGGGTTATTAATGCTTGGAACTGAGCTACTTGGCAGACTGGTATAGAAGCTGGATAGCATCCAGCTTGGGCCTTAAACCCTGGGTGCTTCATTCACTCCACACAGCAGCAGCCTCCTTCTATCCATGGAAACACTCTCAATACAGAGATACATAGTGTTTTGTAGGAGATAAGATTAGTTTACGACATGCGATCTGAGTGCGCATAATGAGAATCTGGCCGGCAGTTTGTTTTTATACAAATTATCATAGAGAAATAGGCCTTTTCACAACATCTTTAATCTCTCAGGTATGTTTTCCAAGAATTTCTGCAACATTCTCTGCAATAGAGGCATTTCCCTCTTTAAACAAGTAACTGAAAACTACAAAAGGACATTGACTGACAGACATCCCTTTGCTCAAAGTTTTCCTATGTTTGCAGATCCCTAGAGACTGCCTTCTGTTTGTATTGAGGTTGAAATGTGTGATCTATTTGAAAAGTATTCCCTGAAAATAGAGGGTCTTCAGAACACAGTAGGGTTTACTCTTCACCCCCCACCCCCTTACTTCAGTGATGGCAAAAATAACAATTGTCCCCTGGGAAATGAATCTCATTGCTATGGTAACTAATGAAGGTTGCATCATTCTAGCACACATTTTTTAAAGCCTAGATTTCAACATGGGTAGACGCCTGTCTTATTTTATTCGGTAACTTAGCAACCTATGGTATACTGTTTGTCACCACCCCCAATTTTTTCTCTCAGAAAAGTGACCTATATAGTTTTGTGTGTGTGTGTGTGTGTTTTGTTTTTTTAAAAATTGTAGAAACGACTGTGGACTGAAGGGTCCCAGGTTTGATTCCAGTCAAGGGCACATGCCTGGGTTGTGGGCTCAATCCCCAGTAGGGGGGTGTGCAGGAGGCAGCTGATCAATGATTCTCTCTCATCATTGATGTTTTTATCTCTCTCCCTCTCTCCTTCCTCTCTGAAATCAATAAAAAAATTTTTTTAAAAAAGTGTAGCTATTTTTTGTGTGAATTTGGTTCATTTCTTAGGTATGTTTATAATGACCTTATTTTCTGGCCCCCAAATTAGGACACATGGTATGCCTGAGAAGTAAAGGATTTTTCTTCCGCTTCATTGGTGTCTCACATTAAGGTCTTCACAGGGCTTTTTTGTTCTGCACCTCTTAATTGTTGTTATTCAGGGGTTTGTCTTTGGCCCTCTTTTTCTAATTCATGTATTAGTATTTATTAATTATTGTATTATTTTCTTTTTTATTTTTTTAAATTTTTAATAATTTATTAGGGTGATGTTGCTTGATATGATTTCAATCTTCTTAAATTTATTGAGACTTGTTTTGTGTCCTAATATGTGGTCTATCCTAGAAAATGTTCTATGGGCACTTGGAAAGAATGTATATTCTGCTGCTTTGGGGTGAAATACTCTGAAGATATCAATTAAATCCATCTGATCTAATGTGTCAATTAAGGCTGCTGTTTCCTTGTTGACTTTCTGTCTGGAAGATCTATCCATTGATGTCAGTGGGGTGTTGAAATTCCCTACTATGACTGTATTACTATCAGTCTCTTTCTTTATGCCCATCAAGATTTGCTTTACATATTTAGGTGCTCCTATGTTGGGTGTGTAAATGTTTACAAGGGTTATATCCTCTTGTTGGATTTCTCTTTTTATCATTATGTAGTGTTCTTCTTTATCTCTTACTATAATCTTTGTTTTGAAGTCTATTTTGTCTAATATGTATCCTCTTTCTTCTAGGCCTCATCCTTTTTCGTCTGGTTTACTACCTACATCATTATCCTGGTTACTTCAGGGTAATGAGGCTTATTCCAGGTGTAAGGGCAGAAAAAATAATTTTCCTCCCACATTTCTAACTTCTGCTGGACTAATAATCAAATTAACAGGAGAAAATGACCAAATTTATTATGTATATACATAAGAATTAGAGAAATGAATGCACATTGGTCAGTTGAGCCTTATATGCCCTTCTGGACAAAGGAGAGGGAAGTAGGGGTCTCAAACTTCAAAAGGAAAGTAGGCAATTCACAGGTTGATGAGAAAGAGCACAGATGGAAATCAAACAAGCTTGCTTGAATCCTTCCTGTCTGCCACAGTTAATTCACAGATGCTGAGGGGAATGTGCTGAAGTTTCCTTCCTGAAGCAGGTTTATATGAATTCCTTGAGGCAGGTCAAGGGGGAGAGTCAAAGGTTCTTTCTGAGTCTTTTGTTTCTGAAAAATAACCCGCTTAAAATATTCAGTATCTCAAAAGGCGTATTTTGGGGTGACAAACTCTAGTCCCCTTCACAGGCTTCTCCCAAACAAACAAAATTACATTTTTGTGACTGGCTGCTTATCCTCCAGCAGCTCCCCATTGTCCTCAAAGTAAAATCCAGACTCCTCAGCAGGGCACAGAAAGCCCTAAGTGGCCTAGGTGGCCCCCTGCATGCTGCTTTGTCCAGCTTGATTCTCATTGTTACCACCTTGCCCCCTCCCTGCTTGCTCTTTACTCCCTGTGCTCATGTGCTGCTCCCTCTGATAGAAACATGCTACCTCTCCTTCTCCCCCTTCTTCTGGTAAGTGCCTCCTTATCCTGTACTTCCGACACCATCACCTCTGGGAAGCTTTCTCTAACATTTCCTAGCCCAGGCCATGTAGGCTCCTGGGCTGAGGGCTGCCTGGAAGGGAGATATACCCATTCTAGTTAAGATTATAGCTTAGAAAGGCACTGGATTCAGTTACTTAGAGGGAGTTGGGGTGGAATGGGAAATAGCATGGTAATATCACTCCCTTTCTTATTTCTTTAGGGATGAAATAGATGCTGGAGCTGTAGAATAAAGATTGTATAGTTCCTTCCCATTATCCTACCCAGCACGGTACAAAGATATTTTGGTGTCAGCCCAGTTTCTTTGCTGCCATGTCTGCACAAGGCCCTGTGCAGATGTAATTAGAGAACTTCTTGTTGTTGGTGGACAGATGGGAGGTGAGTGACTGAAGAGAGGGATTTTTTTAAAAAAATATAATACTGTTGAAAGTATTACATATGTTCCATTTTTCCCCCCATTTGACCCCTTCTAGCCTGCCCTAGGCTTTCACTGCCCTATTGTCTGTGCCCACGAGTTATGCATATATTCATACGAGTTCTTTGGTTGATCTCTTCCCACCACCCACCCACCCCCGCCTTCCCTCTGAGATTCGACAGTCTGTTCCATGCTTCTATGTCTCTGGATCTATTTTGCTCATCAGTTTATTTTGTTCATTAGATTCCACAGAAGAGTGAGATCATGTGATACTTGTCTTTCTCTGACTGGCTTATTTCGCTTAGCATAATACTCTCCAGGGACCTCCATGCTGCCTAGAGAGGGATTTTTGACTGATTCTTTTGATCTGTCACAAACAGTGAGCACCACTTTTGGACATGGTGAGGGGCTTGTCCCTGGGTAGATGCCAAGTATGATAAAATGTGATTCCTTCTCTGATTTTATTTAGAGCTCAGTGAAAGAGCAAACCAGCTCTGATCATAGTGGAGATTTGATAAATGCTATAATTTATCCATTTTTACCTTGAAAAAAAGGGAAAATTTTTTAGGTTTAAGGAATAATATTTAAGGCTAATATTTAAAAGTAATTTTTTTTACCTGTTGAAATGTAGTCAACTGGGCACAACACAATAAGATTATGCTGTTTTCAAAATAGCCCAGCCACTGAACTGACAGGCCTTTTGGGGCTTACCTTGCCTTCCTGATTTTGAGCTGAGCATTGCTTCTCTTTCCCAACGCTCCCAGTGTTTGTTTCTGCGTAGTGTTGAGAGCTTGAGGGAGAGGATGAGGCAGGGAGAAGAAAACAGGACCCCACAAGGTGGGCAGTGCATTGTATGTGGTCCTGTCAGGCTTTGTGTGGGGTAAATGCAGTTGCCCTGCCTTTCAGTATTGGTCATGCATTTTTCTTCTTAATACACTGACCTCTACTGGCTTAACTATGACTCTTAATCACAGCTGTGTTTTTTCTGAAATTTCTTTTAAGGAAGAAGATTTTCACTCATTATTAAAAGCTTTTTAAATATGATTTTAAGAAAAAATAATATAGGCTTTGTATAGTGGAATTTACATTTATCTAGGTAATTCCAGCCATCCCAATTGCATATTTGACCTCTTGGATGCAATACCTTTTTTAAAAAAAATTGCTATTATACATCTACAGTTAAGGGAACAGATACTTTTCTTTAAATTTTTATAGGTTGTAAAATTTATCAATTGTTCTAATATTGTTCTAATGTTGGTGTAAGGAAGGTAGTATACTTATTTATTTATTTTTATTTTTTAAAGAGATTTTCTTTTTTATATTTTGGTGAGAGAGAGAGAGAGAGAGAGAGAGAGAGAAACATTAATCAGTTGCCTCCCATACATACCCCAGCCAGATTTTAAACCCACAACTTGGGTATGTGCCCTGACTGGGAATTGAACCACCCACCTCTTGGTGTGTGGGACTATACTCCGACCAACAGAGCTATGCTGGCCAGGAAAGAAGAGCACTGAATTTAAAATGTAACTAGTGAGCATCACTAGTTAGGGCAAATTGCTTAAGTTCTCTGGGCCTTAGATTTTCACTTCTAAAGGATAATTTCTGCTTCATAGGGCTATTTTAAGAATAAAATGTACAGGCAAAGTGTTTTGGGGCTATTTCTATAGAAAAATTTTAGTATTATTAAAATTTAAAAATTAATATTATCCTGCCACTCTTTGACTTATATAACTATTTTTAAAAAATCTTAAAGCAGCACTGGCCAGGTGACTGAGTTGGTTGGAGTGTTCTCCTGTGTACACAAAAAGGTGAGGAGTTCGATTCCTGATCAGGGCACATACCTAGATTCTGGGTTTGATCCCCGGAAGGGGGGCATACAGAGGCAACTGAATTTTCTCTCTATATATTAAGAACAAGAAAGAAAGAAAAAATCAATGGAAACATCTTTAAGTGAGTATTAAGAAAAAAAATTAAAACAAACCTGCACTAGTTATATTTATGCGTACTTTCTTTTTTAATAATATGGAATGCTTTACAAATTTGTGTGTCATCCTTGAGCACGGGCCGTGCTAATATTCTTTATATTGTTTCAATTTTAGTATATGTGCTGTGGAAGCAAGCACGAGGCGTACTTTCTTTACTGGGATTTTTAGAAACACTAATGTGTATTTTAGTATATTTATATACACTAATATATAGGGTGTCCCAAAAAATGTATACACACTGTATAGCTCAATTGATGTTTCTTTCTTTTCAGGTTTAAACCATTGGAATTAATTATTTGAAGTTTGTATACATTTTGGGGATACTCTATAGATAAGACATATATTCATATGTACAGTTATAAATTTATGATATTGAGATATATATATATAAATATCATAAATTTGTAACTGTAGATCATTTGAATGGCAATTACATGTGGAGCTATGTGCACATAGGTTGTTATACTACTGTAATGTTAGTTGAATCAATGCTCATCTTTCAGATGCAGAAATTATAAGGTGATATGTATCATATATCATGCATGTCAGGTACATTATGTATATCACACGTCTCATATATATATATACATATACATATATATATATATATGATTTTTTACAGAGAGGAAGGGAGAGGGATAGAGAATTAGAAACATTGACCAACTACCTCCTGCACACCTCCTACTGGGGCTCAAACTACATATACATATATATATATATATCTCACCTTGTAATTTAACTGCTGTAAAGGAGGAAGAAGAGAATGGGTTTGATGTAAGCAACCAGCAGTCTCTGCTACCTTGGACTAACTCCTATTTTTATTCATCCAACAAATATTTTTCATATATTTTCCATATTCCATACACTCTGCCAGGCTCTGGGTAGACAATCTTTATCCTCATACTTATTTTCTAGTGGAAGAATCAGATAATAATTACGTTTATGTGCATGTAGATCACATAACAGATTGTGGCCAGTGTAATGAAGGAAATAAATGAAATAGGTAATGCCATCCCTCCAGAGTCATTGCTTCCTGACCCTTATGCCCTTCTTCTACCTTCCCTACATGACCCTACATAGATATATAATAGCTCACAGCTTTTATCTCTAATTGCTTTAATGATATGTCTACTTATCTGTGCACATAGAACTCCTGCACAATGCCTCAGCACATGTTAATGAAATGCATAAAGGAATGGATAAATAATATTCAGGACACCTTTATAGATTGAGTGTAAAATCCCTTATATCAAGGATTAAAGTGTTCAATATGTTGACAAAGCAGGAAAGGTATTGGAACTTGAATTTTCCCATGCTATGGTTGATTAATTCATTTTTAAATAATAGTGATGATAATATTTGTTGGCAATTATTGAATGCTTGCTATGTGCCAAGCACTCTGTCAAGAACTTTACATTTAATCTTCACAACTACTTCACATAATAGGTTGTAATTATAATTTTCATTAATTAGGAACTCAGTCAAAGACACCTCCAACATAAATGTTAAAGAGTGAACTAATGACTCTCACCCATAATCTAGTCATTTTCCAGGATCTCTCATCTCAGTGAATGGCAGCATCATCCGTGTAGTTGGAAAAACCCAAAACCTAAGGAAAGACACTGCTTTCCTTCATCTTCTCTATCAGTTAATATTTATTCAGATCCTGGTAACAAAATCCACCTAACAGTGGCTTAAGGTAAAAAGAGATAAAATCATCTCAGAAACAAGTCTAAAGTTAGTCTAAAGGTTGTTTGATCAGTGTTGTAAATTGAGGCCTGGTTCTTTTTGGCTTTCATCTCTGCCATCTTCAGTACATTGGCTTTTGTCAAGCTTGTTGTCACATGATTGAAAATGATTTCCTCAACTTTAGGCAAAGTCTTTATTGATTCTTTTTTTAAAAAAAATTTATTGTGCTGAAATTTATAACAACATACAATTAAACACTTTAAAGTGATAATTCATCTTGATGTTTACCTCATGCATTCATAGTGTTGTGCAACCAACAGCTCTCTAGTTTAAAAACTTTTCATTACCCCCAGAAGAACACTCCATTACCCATTAAGTAATCACTCCCCATTCACCCCACCTTCATCCCTTGGCAACCTCTAAACTGCTCTCTGTACCTATGGATTTCTCAATTCAGGATGTTTCATATTAAAGAAATCATCCAATATGATTTTTAAAAAATCTGGCTTCTTTTATTTAGCATAATGTTTTTGAGATTCATCGAAATTTAACATATATAAGAACTTCATTCTTTTGAATGGTTATTTTATATATCCTATCTAATAAAAGAGAAACATGGTAATTAGCTGTACCTCCGCTACCCTTCCCATTGGTTAATCAGGGTGATATGCAAATTAACTGCCAGCCAAGATGGCGGCCGGCAGCCAGGCAGCTTGAAGCGAACATGAGGCTTGCTTGCTTCAGTGACGGAGGACTCCAACGTTCCCCGCCTGCCGCT